GGAGGAAGACCAAAAGTCGATATGCCTGCTCTCCTGTGAACTGAGCCGGAAATTGCGGCCGTCGCTAAGAGAATGGAATATCAAGGTGACAAAAGAAAAAAAAAAAAAACTATTTAAAAGCCTGTCGACGTAACACGATAAGGTTGAGCAATCTAGTTAGTCGATCTTCTCGTGTTGTGTAGGTAGATTGGTGAAGTATTCCCTCTTCTTTTGTTATTGCCCTTATATTCCATCCTCTCAGCAAAGGTACCATTTTTTGACTTAGTTTACAGGAAAGCAGCCATACCCACTTTTGGCAGTCCTCCCGATTCCTTATCATATTTTCATAAAATTCTAATTGTAATCTGCTCTTTATGATTCCTATATTTCTTTCTACAGGGGTCATAAAGAGCAGAATTCAATTAGGATTTTATGAAAATAAGATCAGGAATCGGAAAAACTATAAAGAGTGAATATTCCTGTTCTTATGACATAAGTTTGATTTTTCTTGTCAAATAACCTAGGTTCATGACTGGAGTATAACATATCTGAGATTGCAGCATGTTAAGCGCAAGTAAAAGATATTTCCCAGGATAAGGAATGTCTATCAGTCCTTATGTAATTTAAGCTCTTTTAAGAATAGAATTTCTAATTTTAGAATGACCCTGTAGCTAGTCAAAAAATTGATTAGAATGGTAGTCACATTAAAGAAACTCAGATGAGTCAAAATGACGCGTACATTCATTTTATGTTTATTCCAAAGGTTATAGAATGAACGCAACAATTTATAACTATAAAAAAAAATGCAAAATCTGAATATTTTGAAAGGGCGACCTATTGACATTAATTAATATGCTAAGAGAATTTATTGAAAAATTAAAAGTTAATCAAAAAAATAAAAATAAATTTATGATTTAGAGACCTCATGCGAAGCCGACATTAAATATGGTGGGACTTTAGATTGCAATTGCAATATTATTCAAAGTAGATATATAGTGATTCTATTAAGGAATAGTCAGCCATTAGACAATAAGGCCTGTGAAAATACGGCCTTTTTG